TACATGTTAATAACTTGATTGGAATTATAACCTTGAATTGACAGTTTGATACTTTGAAAATTTTGAGCCAGCCCTACCCCCAAGGGCTGTAGGGTGGGGCTCAAAGGAGTCAGTGTGCTAAAATTTCTTCATTTTCCTTGTTAAGAATCAGAGGTGCTAGTTTCAAATCCTTTTTAGTCTGAAATCTGTATGCTAGATATTGAGTAAGGTGGTTTTATTGTTTTTTGTCACTTTGAATAATATTTCTGTTCATGTTAAAAACAAAATCAACTCTCTGTATAAATATATCAGGTGACCGTTAAGGCCCATGGGCCTCTTGTTAAATCTTGTAATACATTGACTGCTACCTTCATGGAGTAAACTGAACAGAAAATGTATCGTTATATAGTGGCTTGGAAACAAATTACACTACACTATTCTAGAATTGTTACTTACAGAGTCTGTATTACTTAAACGTGTAAATTGTCATGTCAATAAAATCAACACGTGGAGTCAATTAACTATCTCCTCTGGAACACTATCAGTCATATAAAATGAGGATTGAGAACACAAAATGTCTCTAAATTATTTCTAGACAGGTCTGCAAACAACCCGTGAAAATGTTAAGTTTATACTCGGTCAGAAAATAGTACTTAGCAAGTATGACGCATTTTGCATTTGTAAATTGCAATGTACCGTATACGGTATTAACAATGATTGCAAATCTTTTATAGCTATTTTTTAAGTCAGATTTTGATAAATGTATTCGATCTTGACATGGGTCAGCCAATTTCCCAATCTGTTCAAGTAAGTCTTCAGATTCAGATGATTATTCAAAAAATGTATCCTCCACAAAACAACCACGTTTATAAGGCCATTATATCATTGTTTATCGAAACAAATTGAAAACCAATACATTATTTATTCCAACGCAGTCATATTGTTGATATAACTCCGATTTGAACTGCGGACGGACAATTGTTTACAAAACTAAACACAGCCGTGTAATGTGAGAACAACAATTTACATTAATTAAAAGGTTCAGTACGTTAAAGGTTCAATCAGCATGTTTTGTATTTCCATCAATATTATTTCGACCACAGGGCATGTACACCAGTCAGCACGTTTAAGTGAATAAGGATTGTCCGATTACATATCAACACAGTGTTTACTTAATATTTCATACTTACTTGGCACAAATCACATGTTTATATAACCATGTTCTGATTTAATTTAAAGGTACACCTATTAACTGAACCATAGCCGCATTATTAGTCTTTAAATTTATAAATTAATTGCAGTAGTTTCGTATTAGATACTCGTAAATGTATAATATAATATTTTGGTTATTCGTTACAAGTTGTTTACAATAGCAGTGGAAAGCAACACGTTATAAGAAACTTTCGCTAAGGCTTATCGCAGCTACAGTTTCTTGAAAAAAAACTTTATTCTCGTGTGTCTTGATGAAAAAGTATTCATGAGCATCGTTTTTCTTTTCCATATCGCCATTGTAATCATCATTCATACTTATAATTATTGTGTATAGAAATGTGTAATATTGTACGTCAATAACTTCAACGTTTAAGGTCATCATTGCTTAAACATAGTTCTGGTATAGTCTTTACAAGAGCAATAGATAACGTTCTAAATAGCTTAAAGTATGACATTTTATGACATTATTCTCTCTTTTTAGGACGATGATGTCCGAAATGGCATTGTTGAATTGGGAAACGAGGACGAATTTTTCCTAGTTGGTGGTCCTTCCCAGAGCCAGGTAGGATTCTCATGATATTAATGTTTAAAAAACGAACGGTAGCTCTGCAAGATTAAACCGTTTATCAATACTTTATCAATTCTTTCCTCTTATAACATCATAAAGCATATACCTCTGACTATTAAGGAGTTCCCCTCTGTACTTTTATATCATGAACTTATACGTCAAACGTTGAAGTGAGAAGTTAAATTTACTTTTGTTGTGCAACAGAATGAACCACTGTTCACTCGAGTACGGCCCCCGCCTCATAGCGACCTAGCCCGGGCGCTTAAATCCCGTCATGATCAGCGCCATGCTATCCCCTGGTCGATACTGAACGCTCCCCCCGGACGGCCACACACCGACGGGAATGATCTGGCTAAATCCTTGGACGCCCCGAGGTCAGCCGACACAATACAGCGTGGGATGGACGAAAAACGACTACGGGAGCTTCTGGAAGAGTTGTATAAGGATAAGAAATACTTCGATCATGTCATAGATACCACTGGTAAGAGAATCATTCCAACATTTTGCCTATTACGGAATCATTGAGACTTGTTGAAATCGAATTGAATCTGTATTGGTGATCATTTAAGTATTGTAATGAGATATACGTGCTCCTTAGATCTTCCTAGTATTGTGTAATATTTATTTTTAATCAGTACTTCTTATAGCAATGAAAATCTAAGCGAACAGTATGAAATAGTGTTGTCACGAGTTGTTTTATATATATACTACCTACTGCAAGTAGCAATTCCTTCGGACAAGGCAAATTAACCATTTTGAAATCCGTTTTCATGACAATATAGAACAATTTAAATCAATGAGCCCTTTTTGAAACGATTTAAAAGACAATTGTTTATGTCTCAATGGTCTTGGATAACTTTTTTAAATATTCAAAGAGAACTGTTTTTTTTAAAGTTTCTACAGTAATGCATGTTTGGGAACTTTAATAGCGTTGCCAAGTTGTCTGTAAGCGGCTGACAAAATATATCTGGTAATCTTAAATAATGTCAACCCACATTTCTATAAACAATATTGAATTGTTTATTTAAAACTAAAAAAGATATTTTCTTTTAAGTCATTGCAAATTAACACAGACAATTCTCTATTGCTGAATATAATTGTAGAGCTTATGTATTGGAACATATATATATATGCCATGTTTCTGACGGAGTTGTGCACTGGATCCACTAATTTACCATATCTTACAGCGCCAAAAGAAGATCGTGACATAGATGACCGGGATCTGGCGGAACACGGCCGGCACTTCCTGTTGGATCGCGCAGACTTCTGGGAGGACAGAGGACCTTTACCTTCGAGACCTCCCCGCACCAGCCTCGGTATGAGAATGTCACGTATGCAAACAATGATAAACTCAGGTCGAGTGTCAATGACCTCTACCAACACCTGCACCCCACCTGTCACAGAACTACCCAATCAAATGCCATTACGAGAGGAAAATACGTTCTCATGACGTCACAGCGTATAACTTGGTGCTGGTTTTCTTCCTGTGTGGTGGTCCGTTTGATTTTTCCCCGATGGTATTATTTCACTCATGTCACTTGAAGTTCTTAATGAAGATGGATCTGCAACAATACCTACCATTCAGTGAGACTGTTGAAGACTCTTGAAATATTGTCAAGATGTGCGCTCTCCAAGCTTCCTTATGTCACGACAGAGAGCCTCCAAACATCTGGAGTAACGCCATACATTCCACTGATTTTTTTTTTCTTTTTTTTTTCCAAAGTTAACGCTTAAATGCAACCAACAAGGACTGATTATTTGGCATTGTTTATGATAAAACATTTTCGATTTAAAAGAAAACTACTGAACTCTTTAATGAAAGCAAACTGTGATATGCTGGATATCTTGTTATTGTTAATCGTTTTGTATATACTCCATATTAATGTATTGTCTTCAAATAAAACAAAACTTGTAGTCTGACTCTGAATCTCCTGTGCTATCTCCGAGGATTGTTAAAAGAGTATACCTAAATTCCCAGACATACAAGACGGTTGTACAGCATTAATACATTTTGTTCAGATATTCAATACTATTAAGGCAATAAAGTTGACCGTAAAATACTAGAGCTATGATAACGTCATAAAGGCATACAATAGTAGTACGATAATAACATTGTCCAGATACACAGTACCAGTACGATAATAACATGATCAAGGCAAATAATACCAGAATGATAATAACAGCATTCCGATAAACAGTACTAGTACGATAATAACAGTGTCCATATATACAATACTAGAACTATACTAACATTGTTCATTTACAATACTAGAACTATAATAACAGCGTCTAGATATACAATACTAGAGCTATAATATCATTGTTCATTTACAATACTAGAACTATAATAACAGCGTCTAGATATACAATATTAGAGCTATAATATCATTGTCCATATATACAATACTAGAACTATAATAACAGTGTCTAGATATACAATACTATAACTATAATATCATTGTCCATATATACAATACTAGAACTATAATAACAGCGTCTATATATACAATACTAGAACTATACTAACATTGTCCATATATTGAATAAACAATACTAGAACTATTCTAACATTGTTCATTTACAATTCTAGAACTATAATAACAGCGTCTAGATTTACAATACTAGAACTATAATAACATTGTCCATATATTGAATAAACAATACTAGAACTATTCTAACATTGTTCATTTACAATACAAGAACTATAATAACATTGTCCATATATACAATACTGGAACTATAATATCATTGTCCATATACAATACTAGAACTATAATATCATTGTCCATATACAATACTAGAACTTTACTAACATTGTGCATATACAATACATGTGCATATACAATACTAGACCTATAAGAACGGCGTCTAGATATACAATTCTAGAACTATAATATCATTGTCCATATATACAATGCTAGAACTATAATAACAGCGTTAAGATATATAATACTAGTACATAACCAGCTTTGTCCAGACATACAATAGTTCAGTACTTACATTGTTGAGATATACAAAACTAGTACAACATTTTCAAACAACTTTGGGGCATACAATTTAAGCACGACTCTTCAAGATATTATTTTTGCGTGAAATCCGTAGATATTGTTTAACTGCAGATGTTGTTTTATTTTATTTGTGTTGGTTTGCATTGTAAATAGATTATGTTTCACGTGTTCGCTTTTATTATGTAATACACTAGACAGACATGACTAATGTGCATTATACACCTTAACGACTAATGTGCGTCACACACATTAATGCATGTTTCATGTACAATCCTACTTGTGACGACTGTGTACATATTTCCATATCCGAAGCGTTTCAAGTAATTTCTAACTGACTGCAATTTGGTTTTTAAATCGATGCACTATTTCATTTTCAAAACCTTATTTGATATCCGGAATCTCAAAACGTACACTGTAAATTTTCCATTTTGGCATATGATTATTAGCAAGTAAAGCAAACGGAAATGTAATTGTTATTCTACGACGTTGTGCTGTATATCGGGGAAACTTTCGCTTTTTTTAATTGTAACTTCAGTATTCGCGCAGCGTTAATTATACTCAACACATATAATGACTATACATAGCATATATGGTGTGTGTAGATAAGCCAGTAGGTAATTATACAGTATAATGGTTTAATTATAATTGATAAAATCGCCGTTGAGCTAGTCAATGATAATTTGGCTGTAGTGTTTATTTATACAATCTCTTTTAGCCAATGGACAATGATAATATGATTATATTGTTATTAATACGATCCCCTTTGGCTTTTAGACAATGATAATGTGGTTATCTAGTAAATTTAACATTCCCTCGTTAGCCTATATAGGATGATAATTAATATTTTATTCTTATTTATACAATCCCAGTAAAACTAAAGACAATGATAATATGGTTTTAATTTCGTTTATGTAGTCCCATTAAGCTTATAGCCAAATGTAATATTGTTATTTTGTTTAATACAACCCTATATAGCCTTTACGCAATGATAAAACGGTTATATTATTTATTTATACGACCCCTAGCCTGTAGCCAATACACAATGATAATATGGTTTTATTATTGTTTATATAATCCCCGTTAAGCTAGACAATGATAATATAATTTTTCACATAATGTGCTATGTTATCCAGTGAATATACCAATGTCATATATTTTGCGTATAAACCCATGCAATATGACCTACATGTAGCAGCCCTCTGATTGGTTGTTTCAATTGTGACGTCACGCATAGGACAAGTACAAGACGTCACATACTTTCACACTGGAGTCAAAATGGCCACTTTTTATATTTCAAGGTTGCATGAAAATTCTCGTTTAACACGAATAAATGCAACACATCTTGATAATGTGATAAAAAGGATCTTTCATTCGTTTTATTTATTATGAAATTTATGAAACTCGCCAGATGCTCGCACCGTTATTATTGTAGTTTTTCGGTTCATATGACACCAATACACACGTGAGAGTGTATGAATCTACAGGCAATATGATCAATAGAATACCCGGTCCTTGATTTGTAAAGGTCTTTGGTACGTTGGTCAGGTTTTGTACCCAGATCGTATCATTATTGATAGCTCGTTCATTACGTACACAGCCAGAATGAAATGATTAGATTACTGATATAATGGAAGTATATACCCTATAATTCCCCCACTATGCCAGGCGTTCATATCTTCGTATATTAAAACTATCTGTAGAATATTTTATCTCTGTCTACCTTGCAATGTACGTCTTCCATTAAAAGATTAGAGAAGTGTCGTGACACCAGCTCACATTCTATGCTATTACACAAATAGGAATGTACAATCACATATAAATAATCTTTTCATGGGATCCAAAACTCCAGTCCGAGAGTAACAAAAACCAAGAAAAGAAGCGTTAATGAATTGTACTTATCAATACAAGTGTTAACCTCCATTATACTACCTTATAACGGAACTTATCACTAGTATTTAGAACTATCTCCTTCAATCCCATGTAGATGATGTTTTGACATCTGTTAAGTAGCGCGGTTTTCAATGATTAAAACGGATCGCAGTATGATATCTTGTGTATTGATCTAAACGGAGGATATTCATTCACATTTACATCGTCACTGAATATATTAAATGGAATCGAAGTCTATATTCTATATTTTAATTTGCACTCCAATACCTTGGTTTAGCTGTTATCACAATATAGATATTTCAATTCTTACTATACATCGTCAATGTCACGACCTCATGCACAAATTTATTTGATTTGGAGGTTAAAAAGTTTGAAAGTATTTCATCAAGCCTATTTAATATCTGGTAAATGACATTTACATGAATTAATAATCAAAAACGTTGAATACTGTTCAAAACAGTTTTTTACTTAGAATCTAGACCTGTCTTTGGAAGATTTATCTTTTCTTTGATCTGATATTGATCATTGTGTATGAAACAAGACGACCACACACAGAGTCAATTATAGTCATAGATTTTAAACTTAATGCGGAATGTGGGATCCATTATATAACATACACACATTTACATAGGTTATTAATACTGAAAAAGGATTACAAAACACTTATATACTAGCCAACATATAACACCTCTAACTTATATGAATTGACAAAACAGTGTAAATTTTACTTTTCGGACTAGTGTATTGATATTCGTTGTTTTTTCTGGTAGTACCGTCTTATATATTTTTGGGAGATGTATTGTGGACCATTTCTGAGAAGATTTTTGTGTTTATTTGAGAGTACGATTTTGTGTTGTATAGGGTGTTACTATTTGCTGCTATTTCTGGAAGACGTGTTTTATTGTATCGCTGGGAGTTGTGTATTTTGTTATTTCAAAGAGTACTTCTTGAGTTATGTATCAGAGTACACTATGTTTTGGATTTGTGTTTTGTATTGTGTCGGTGTGTCGTGATTTGTGTTATTTCTTTATTTTTTGTTGTTTAGTTCTAAGTACGGTTTCAATTGTTCTTCAAAGGATGTAGTGTTTTGTGGTATTTCTAGTTATACTATTTTGTGGTATTTCTAGTTATACTATTTTGTGGTATTTTTGGTAGTTGTGTCTTGTTGATTTTTTTTATCTGAGAAAACTGCTTTATTTCATTTCATATGGTTGTGTTTATGTTATGTTTGGAGTGCCATCTTGTTACTTCTGTTTCATTTGAACTCTTTGAGGAATGTTTCGTGCTCTTCCTTTCAATAAGTTTTAGCTATATATTTAAAAGTATAATTTACAGTAATTCGCAACATTTTTATACATTTTATTGTTGTTAAGGATCCTAGTAAAATATATTTGAATTGTATCGTTGCGAGGAGGAGAGGCCTAAAGCCAACGAATGACTACCATAAGCATATCATTAATAGGCAGTGTCATTATAAGAATACAATTTTTCGAATTCTATTCTTTTCTCTTTTATGTATAAAATGTCACTTGCCGACGTATTGGGATATTATCGTGAAGAAACAGCACGATTAAATATGTTACTCAAGAACTTTGTACATATAAGATATTGCTATCTTTGATATGGCTCGTAGCACCTATCTTTTTAGACCGGAGTACTATTTACAATAGCTGAGGTTTGATTTCAACTTCTTCAGTATGTCATTGATTTTGGACTAAGTCGGTACGTGTGATAATAAACGTTGTAGAGCGTCCGTTGACTTGCAGGTAAAAGTATACCACGGATTAGATAGACAGACAGCTGTGATCAATAGCCTCACGTTGAACGGATAATGTCTTATTATAGGGGGGACTTCGCCTGCTCTACCAACCATTGTCACGCTATAGTGGTGTGACGTCATAACTCGTTAGTATCGATGCGCATGCATGACACTACAGAAGAATGAATGTCTTCATAAAGGTTGGGAGCGCTATTGAAAGTGATAACATGATTTGTAAAGGTGCCTTGTACAGTTATAGGTCC